ATGTATTATAAGGAAATTACCAATGTAATGAGAGAAGTCTCATTAGTATGAGGGGAAAAGACTGGTCTTCTAGGTTGAAAAGGAAAAGGAAGCATAGATAAAAAGGAATAAATGAGAGAATACAGACAATTATCTTTAAAAAATAGTTTGGCTCTGAAGAGAAAATGAAAAATAACTAGATTGAGAGGTAGGGAAAAATAAGTCAAAGCATATGAGCTGAAAGAGCTGGGACACAGGGAGAAATTGAAGGTGCAGAGTGAGAGGAGCCCTTCACTAAGGGAATATATTTTGAAAAAAGCAGGGAAAGATGGTACTCAAAACACAATGTGAAATATTAGCCATGGAAGAAGGGCAGGTTCTTCAAGCCAAAAGGAAACCAGTCACTAAGGGTATGGATTGCCAAACTTTTTATTTAAACTTATCATGTAATTAAGTTCATTTTCCTATATAATATCTACCTACCTTCCAATGGGCAAAACAAGAATTTTATGCATATGTCAATTTATTAATAAATAGCAGAAATCATTATATACAAGAAATGAAATTAGAACAGAGAAGAAATGGAGAATGTAGAATATTTAGGAATGGTTTTGAGGACAAACTGGATTTGAACATAATGAAATTTGGAGAATTGAAGAAAATAAATCATTGATTTATTTCAGATAATGAGAAAGATATACTTTGAGTCATCAAAATCTCACTGAAGTCCATTTACTAGTCCAGCCCAATAGTCTTGATTTAATCTGCTTGCTTCCTGACTAGGGTTGATTGCAGCCTAGGAAAACAAATGTTTATGATTTTTTTTATTATTTCCTTCTTAATATCCAGAGCATATAAACCAAATGATGGCTCCAAAAAATCTCCATCCATGGTAGGATCCTTAATCAATTTCATACATGTAAACTCTAAGGCCATTGTCTGTGGTATGGTGTATTACACTCAGGGTACTGTGCCTTCTAAGCAAGCATTACTGAACTATATCCCTAGCCTTTTACTTTCCTGATAGTAAAGTAGCTTTGAACAACCATTGGCAATATTCATACACCAAGACTTGATTTTGTTTTCTCATGTCTAATTGTAAAGAACTCTATGCTTTAAGTTTCTAGTCTAGTTATACAAAAAAATACATCTGAAAATTTTAAACATGTACACAAATTGGCTTGTCTTTCTTTTTATGTTGTTTATTCAGGAAACTAAAAATAATATTCTAGCTGAAGTCTGGTCTGTGTAGAGCACAATGGGATGGATATTATCCTGGTGTAGACTGCATATTGACCATATTTAATGCTTGCCTTTGCTTTTCTATTGCTCCAAGTGCTCCTTTAGCTCATTTTGAGCTTCTTGTCAACTAATCCCCTGAGTCTTTTTTATCTGGAAGTTTTAAGAAGAAATGCAAAAGAGAAATAATTGCTTGCTAAACAAAGATAAGGCAGAATAATTGACAAGCTTCATTTAGCTCTTGCAGAGTAGCTTGCAAACTACTCCGTTACCACCACAGGAAATCATGCCCCCATTCAAAGGGAGGTCATTCAGAGTCTTTTGAGATTAGTCCACTCAGATCTACTCAAAGGTGGCAAAAAGGCCTGAGGTCTTGAGTTCTTCAATAATTTCCTAAGTCTGCCTACCATATGAACACTATTTTATTTGTTAAAATTAGGACTGAAAGAAGGAAAGACCTAAAAAAGGGGAAAGACACTCAAATAAAGGTTGTAGAGCAACAGTTAAGCAAAGTGGGTTGATGAAGACAAATGGCAGCATTTGGCATTTTGCCCCACTTTGTTCCAAGGCTACAATAGGAAATCATCATCCACCTCCCCTCTGATCTTCTGAATCTAGTGATATCCCATGATTCAGCTAGTTAAGAGGAGATGATATTAACTAATTCTGTGTCACACCCTTGCTCTTGAGACTACTTGAATTTTCTCTTGACCCATGCATTCTTTGTTTATGTCATGGATCTTTCTTGAGATCTATTCCATGAATCCTATAGTCTCATAAATAGGAAGCCATAGCCTGCCTGCTCATTCATTCCAACAATCATTTTTCCTTTCTTCTTTTTTTTCAGATGTGCTTTGTTTTCAATTTATTTTAAACATTACCAAGTATTTCAATAACCAGGTACTGAGTCCCTACTATATGACAATGAGTTAGCTAGTTTGCATATATTATCTACTTTGACTTATATAGCAATATCCACTTAATATTATTATTAACTTTTAAAAGATAAGGAAAGCAAGGCTCAGAGTGACCTCACTGATAAACGACTACTATGTTGAGGCATATAGATTCAACTCCTGCCCATCTAATTACAGTGGGAATGCTTTCCCACCTTACTCAAACACCACTCAGCTATAGTTACAGAGGACCTTATACATTGTTTAAGGGGAAGTAAAAGTCTGAAAAGTGCATTAAATCCCATTTATAGCTACAGACTCTCTGCCTCCCAGTAGGAGCCACTATAATTTGCAACATTTTATCGTGACTAAAATCTACTACCACCCTTATAACTCTCACTATTGCCATCATCCCAAATAGGCTATCCATTGTTTTTGAAAAGTTGGAATCACACCTGTTATCTAAAATTTTGGTTGAATGCAATCATTCTTATTGTGCTCCTAAGTGGGTGAATAATATGTACCTTCGTCTTGATGTCTACTTGGTCCTTACACTGAACATAGCACTTGCATTGGTTTTATTGGTCCACTCAGTGTTGTTCCCACTCTATTGTTATTTTATTTTTTAAAGAATTGTAAACTCTTCCAAGATTTGAAAATGGAAAAATCTTCCACTAATATTCCATACTCATGAATTGCATAACTACCTGTTGTTAATTGATGTCATTGACTTACTTTAGAAGGGACCTACTTTCTCTCAGCCTCCCCTCCCACATGCACACAGTGAAATAGTGTGTCTGGTTCCATTTATGAGTAGCACACGCGTGGATTCACTCATTTTTATTTGTTATGTGCTTCCAGTAAATATTTAAAATGATATCCATTTCTGTTGCTTTAAACAGCTTTGGAGATCAACTTACTTGCTTTTGTATGTTAAAGTTTTCAAATTAAAAATATTCTTGGTAATAATATGCCTTGCATCATCCAACTAAATATGAATTTCTTCTCCTTTATTTGGAAAAGATTTTTACTCATAGAATACTATTTATATATGTCAATGCTTTGACACAAAGACATCAAGTTGATACAGACGAGGTGCCACAGTGTGTAAGGGAGTCAGAAGCAGGCATTCGATGGGTTGACTTCAGAACCCACCATTTTTACCTGCAAAACAAAAATAGAGAGAAATAAAATTCTGTAGCATTACAGTTTATTTGGGTGAGGGTCTAGGTTTAGTCTCCATTCTACTGTGGATATTTGAGATTTGTTTTAAAATTTCTCAGCTTGAAAATAGTTTGGAATGTAAAGACAAGTTTGCTCTGTGTCTATACAGCATTTATAGATGTGCTTTCAACACATAGATAATAAAAACACATATAATAAATAAAACTTATTCTAGATCATTTGAGTATTTCTGGCCTCTAAATATGGTACTTGAATTATAGCTACCGTATAATGCATTTCTTTGTATTTTTGTTTAATAAAGGAAAGTGTCCAGCTATTTGATTTATTTATATAACTAGGTTAACTTCATAAATTTTTTCTCAAACTTTCAGAAGTGATTCTATATTTTAAAATTTAATTTCCCACATGTGTTACATAATAAGAAATCTAACACAGAATCATATCTGAATGCATAAAAAATAAGTTGACTTGCAGAGTAGTTCAAGAATGTTAAAGAGAACTAAAATAGATGTTACCATTACCATTTTGACTATTTAACACAGACAAGATATCATATTCAGTGATTATATAATCTCATTTAATACTTTCCAAGCTATTATCAGATGTGTCTTCATTTAAACATCGAGCATAGTAAGGATTTTAGAGAGAAATTATTTGCTCAATAACACAGATAGGAACTGGGCCTTGGGATTCCAGAACAAACCTGTGTACTTGTAAAGCTATGTCCTTGAAGCACATGTTATATTACTGGGGAATGTCAAGGATGTGTCTTGATTCCTGCCCCTAATGCCTGTGATATTACTTAATAGCTCTCAGCCTCAGTTTCTCCATTTGCAAATGAAAAAAAATTCACTCACATCAAAATATTGCTTGGAAAAATTTTGTATTCCCTTGTCTATCTATGTATCTATGTATCTATGTATCTATGTATCTATGTATCTATCTATCCCCAGCTGTAGCTCCTTGTATATTTCTGGTTCAAAATATTTATACATTCAGTCCCAGTTTCTTACTATCCATTTTTACTGTCAGCCAAATGGTATAATCCTCACCTTATATCTAATGCACAATTTAACAAGGGGGAAAATAATGGCTTATTGTTTTTTTAAACTTGTAAAATGTAACTAATAAATTATTGATTTTCATAATTAACAAGAACAAAGTCAGAATCATTAACTAAGAAGATCTTTGAAAGGAAGAACAAAATGAAAAGGGGCCACTAACTATAAAAGAAAGATTTGCATTTACATGAGTTAAAAGGTGATCAGAAACATCTAAGGCTGATTAAAACCTTTGGCAGGTGGCTGAACCACGCCCCGGGGGGACTGTTGCGAGGGACTGGTGATGCCCATTTGAGGTTGGTTACTAAGATAGCCAGTCTTTTTATGGGGAAGTGAGGTGATGACCAGTGTGACACTGTGGCTGCACGGGGTAGGCAGGGCAGCAATCTTTGTAAACTGTCCATATTTCCACAAGCACATTTAGGGAGGATGTAGAATCCAATGCTGTTTGGAAGCAGGCATGGGTTTGTGATTGGCATTCCAGCCTCACATGCACTCCTGAGATCAAAGGCCTCTGTTACCCCTCCCTGCTGTAGGGCGCTGCAACCAGCCCAAATCACTTTGTGAAGAGAGGTCTTGACATACAGACCCTAGGTTATCCACATTTTGTCCTCTTTTTTCTTAAATTTGTATTTTTCAGGACAAATGATACTGGCTTTCTTTCCTTCAAAGACCACTTGCCTGTCACTCAGATAGTTATCACCGATACCAACAGATCAAACTCAGAAGCTGCTTGGAGAATTGGTCCCTTGCGTTGCTATGGTGACCGTGAGTACTAAATTGAAAGAAGCTTTCTCTGCATTACATGAGCACAAGATGCTTTTAGTCCCTTATCCCTTTTCCCTGCAGTGTCCCATAATCTGAAAATTATTTCCATGCCCAGTGCTTTTCCATCCCACATTGAAATCCATGATCCATACTTAAGGATTTTCTCATTTGCAGGACACTTCTGGAATGCTGTCTCATTTTATACAGAAGCCTCTTATCTCCACTTTCCTACCTTCCATGCGGAATTCAGTGCCGACATTTCCTTCTTTTTTAAAACCACCGCTTTATCTGGAGTTTTCCTAGAAAACCTGGGCATTAAAGACTTCATCCGACTTGAAATAAGCTGTAAGTGCCTTCATTTATGAATTAATTCATCGGTCAACTGAAGAAGGTGTAGCCTTTATCTTTGCCACCAACCACTAGTGCATATTTGTACTGTCAAGTTAACCACACTGGACTTTGGTAAAATCGGAAGTGATAATTTCTAGTTCTTCCAAGTGCTTTATGGTTTCACTAGATTCTATCAGTATTTATTGATCACCTTCTCATCAAAGTAAGTGTGTCCTAAAAATCTCATTGGATACCTATTATTGGGTCCATTATCTGAGCCATGAGCTTTCTTTTCCTTTCTTTCCTGTAACTTTCAGCTTGTACACCACAGGATCACACTTTCTACAGAAAATAGAAATTATTAATACTATGCATTCTGTTCATATATGGTATCTACATTTTTGTTGTCCTAGTGCTTCAAAACTAATTTCCTAACTTATCTCTAGCCACGAGGAAAGTGTGAGTGTTCTATCAGAGTTCACCAGGTGTCTCCACTTCTTCCCCATGAACAGTGGTGTAGTCACAGAACTAGATGCCAGAATATACATTTTCTTGTCAACACCTTGTCTCTAATGTACAGATTAGATTCATTAATAATCATAACATGAAAGAAAAAGCAATAAATATGTGTATGGTATAAATACTCTATCATTGAGTACTTTATATGTGGACATGCTAATAAAAATAAATTCTAGTGCATAAAAGAAAACAAAATAAAGTGGTTAATTTATCTACTTTTTGAAAAGAAAAAGTATATACTGGTCTGTTTCAGTAATAATAACATTATAGTTCCTGTTTCTAAGCCTTTATTTCCACAAATTTTTCATAGACTATGAAAAATCAATTTTCTGTATATGTTCTTTCTCAAAAAAGTATAAATCATGTTTCTCTTTTTTATTTTGAGCAAAGAGTGCTTTTTATTAATTTTAAATTATATTTCTTTTCTACATAAATCTATACATATGCAAGTAGGAAAGATTTAAAAATTAAGAATGTCAGTAAAGATTTGTAAACATTTTGTTTCAGAATAAATTTCAGAAATTATGACATTATATCTTTCTTAAATATTAATTCTAGTATCTTACAAATATCTCTGCAATCAAAATAATTACACAGAATATTTTCAACCAGAAAATCATCATAGATTTCTATTCTGTTAGGTAAAAATAAAGCTCTCAAAGGTTTGGAATTGCTCAAACTCTCTGGGAATGCATTTTTTGTCTCGAGCCCCCATGGAGGACATATCCATTCATGCATTCAATAGTAGATTCAAGGTAAACAATAATAGTGCAGGAATTATTTAAAAGAAAAGTTAGAATCTGAGTTCTAAGTCTTGAAATAAGCATTTATTTGAGTCTACATGTGTAGGAGCCCACAGTATATCTGGAGTTGTCTCTATTCCCCCTAGACTATACTATTTATTGAATGGCAATTAATAACATTTACTGATTTGAAATTTACAAATATATGATTAAAAATTAAGCATAACTTTAACATCTGTTAACAGACCAACATCAGAATTTTTGGTGGAGGAATGTTTCATTATTAGGATTTCTTAGAATAACTGGAGAATGATGATGATGATAGAAAAAGATATATTTCTAGTTGCTTTTGCCAATGCCTCTGGGTACTCTGCCCTCTGTGCACCCCCTCATAGTTCATAAGCAGGGTGGACTGCCCCTCTGCCTTGCCTTATTATGCCCATGGCTACATTGACCCACACTTATCATTGGACCCCACCCTCCGTGTCTCTCATCACCATTTTCCTATGCTCTGAGTGAGGTGATGGACCACATCACAGCCCTGATGTGACTGCATGCAGTGCCTTGGGAAGCACAAGCATCATCTCATGAACAGAAACTGGAGATTTGAGAGCTCCAGTAACGGAGACAAATGCCTTGGCAGAAGGAGGTAGCAGAGGTATTTGTGTAAGTCTCCAGCAAATCACCAAGCAGCTAAGTGTTTCTTTTGCAGCTACAGCAGAGTACATGCAAGGAAAGAGAGCTTTTTAATTGGTAGTTGTGATTTCCTTTTACTCCAAGGATTTGAACTACTAATGGGAGGAAACTCTTATGGCTTTGGTATGAAATAAAATTCCTCCTGCCTAACTTTGCCAGGCTCAGAAAATGTGAACTGGAGAGCCAACCACTTTATAATATGGATATAATGACCTCAAAGTAAATTCAATAAAAATTGGGCCCTATGGCCTTTTGATTCATTAAAATCACAGCAAATGTCATGATATATTATCACAAGATAATGAACTATGATTTAGTGTTAATTACATATCAATGTCCAATTTATTTATAATTTGTGGTAGTGTATTTTGCCCTTTGGGTTGCACAAAAATTTTTAAATGTTAAGCCAGTATCCAATTTACAGAAGATTAAAAGTCATTGATGTAATTGTTTAGTGTATACTTATCACTAGATTGATGAATATCACTTTATAAAACAATAAATTTTACATGAGAAATATTTAAATTGCAGAACTACATACTTTCTAAATTTATCATTACACTTATTAATATTTAGAAGGGAAAGTGTCAAATCGGGAGAAAATCTTTCATTTCTTATTTACAGCTAAACTTACACTATGTGTTTTTGGGCAGATAGAATTTTTACCTAAAGAATTTATGGCAGGAAATCCCTACAGACCAGGTACATGGAAAAGAGGAGTCCTTTTAACAGATGCAGTGGCTCAGAATAGACTTCTTTTCTGTCCCCAAGGAGTGTTCCTTTCCAACCATCTGAATATCAGCTTCCAAGGTTGATGTACCAAATTGTTGAACAGGGAACAGCAGGTCTCCATGAAATTTTCAATCCATTTCCTTTTGAGTCATTTCCAACTGAGACGCTTGAATTGTGTCACCTTGGGATTAGTTTGTCCTCTATGAAAGGAAACACAATTCACCATGCCCTCCAGTCTTAGTGCATGTGTTTCAAATGGGATTGTGGAAAAAAGAAAACCAAAACAACTTAGCTCTGGTCTCTGTTGCAAGTAGAAACAGATAACTAGGACTAGTTGAGGAAGAGCAGGAAGGAACGGTCTTCCAGAGTCAGCACAGCAGCATGGAAACAGCTTCAACTGTAGAATCCAGTGTGCATCCAAATGTATGCTGCTGATTCTGGTTCATGAGCCGCATTAGAAATTTCATCACCTCCTTAGTACTTATTTATGCATCATGGAGTTGGTTACACTCAGACACCAACCAGGTGTATTTAGCTGCATTTAACAGAAAACTCAATGTGAAATGGGGGATACAAGGAGGGGAAACTATTAGTGCTGGGAAACATGAAGAAGGGCAGATGTAGGGCCGGTTTTATTTCCGATTAAATTCAACAGTTTAACACAAATTATTGGTGGTCTGAATGACTTCTTTCTCTGTTCTGACTTCTGAATATTTACGTCAGTCTAAGGCTAGCTCTCCCTTAGGAAAGAGCTACATCCCTGCCTAGTGGATCACTACCATCCAGTTACCCAAACAATCCTCCTGAAATGCAGCTCACCTGACCATCTGGGCACCAAAGACTGTGACCAGGAAAGAAAAGAAGGATTGCAGATTGTGTACATGTGGCCCACCTTTCTGTCTGGGAATGGAGCCAGCTTCCCTAGTAGAAAAACAAAAGAACTCTGGGTGTGGTAATAAGGGGCTGGTGGTGGGGTGATCCACAATGACTCTTCTGAGGCACATGTTAGGATTGAAATGTGTGACTTATTTGAAAAATACCTGAAAAGAGATGAGGCACTAGAAAGTAACTATTTATTTTTGTGGACATATGAGAGTTTAGCAATTGTAATCCTAGTCCTGATTGTGACCTAATAAAAGTTATATTGCTATCATATTCTTTAAGTGATTGAGATTTAATCTTTTCATTTTTTATGGCTGAGTTCTAATAATATCAGTTCAAGTGTGCTCTATAGTTCATCTCAATGTGAATTAAATAAAAACAACAACAGAATTTTCTTGAGTTGCTTGGTGGGAAATAAATCAAACATACACACACACAGGCACACACAAACACCCACAGATTTATATTTTAGAAAGCAAAGGGGTTGAGCTAAGAATATTATCACATGTTATATTAATTTGACTGTTACAGTCAGAACCTCAGAGAATAGTAAAAATTAATATTACTAGTACAAATCACTGCATTGTGGAGTGATTACTATGATTAGACACTGCTAAACTCTTTACATTAATTCATTTTCTTTGCAAATTGCCTGCCTATCACTGTGACTGTAGTGTATTATATCACTGTTGCCCAGCTCATAGTCTAATACGCAGATGAGGAAGATAATCCCACAGACAATAAGCCTGGAGTTATATGACTGTGAAAGATTGGAATCCAGTATGCAACCTGATATCTCTGCTCTTTTGTGAGTTCCCTCACTAAGTTTTGCAAAACCCTTTCAGGAATGAAGAATGTCAGGACTCAAGAGGAAACAATTATTTTCTTCCAGGTGTTGAGGCACAGGGAGTGTCTGTTCAGGAAGTGTCTGCACTTTTGTGAAAAGCGATTTGTGTGAAAGATAAGAATCATTATTGTCATCAGAAACTCAAAGAATCAATGTCTCCAAAAAGTATAACCATGTTTTATTTAGTTTATAGTTCTCATTTGGAGATGATGACATGGAAGGTCAGAGAGGCTAACTGGCTACATTAAAGACTTGTGAACTCTTTTTTTCATAGATGGACCTTGAGATTGCTCTCATGGCTAACCTGGGGTGAGAGTTGAAGACAAAAAATGAACTCATGCTTCCATTTTTATGAAGCTTGGGGCTGAGTAGTACCCAAAGAATATCAAATGAGTGCTAAGTGATTCCTCTGCCAGGCACACTGGTTCATTTTCTGCCAGACTCTGGGAGAGCAGCACACTGGAACCTTCCTCTGGTCCTAGAAGCCTGTGGGAGACATCCTCTCAGGGAACTTCCATGCTGTGCTGTCAAGCTTCTCAGTAGTAAGCTGAGAGGACATCTGGTTTCATTCATCTCTGAATTATCAGTGCCTACCACTTGGCTTGAGCAAAACCCACCCAAAAGCTGAGCTGACTCTTTAGCTTTAATTTTGATCATAAAGGATTGAATAGTGAGAGGAAGTATCTGTCAGGCACTTGGAGGTTCAGAGGCAAGAGGGCAAGTTCATATGACAGCTAAGGCTGTCCTAGGGTCTTCTCCTTCCAGGCCATGGTCCTATGGGTGATGCTTGCCCCTCTGGTCCCTGAGATCTTGTGTTCAACTCAGTGCCCTGCCACAAAGCCTCTAGCCAGCAAATGGGAGTGCCATTTACTCACTCATGCCTTTCCCTTTCCTTTTGGTTGTTCTCAGGCATCTGACATTATATTCCAGGCTTTCATTGCCCTGAGAGACTGAACAAGTTTTGAAGTTAGAAGCTTTTTCTTAGGGAAAGCAGTTGTGAAATGAGCTCTGGGGCCACACCACCTCCATTCACATTCTGACTCCAACCCATTGCACTGGGCAACCTTACCTGGACCTCAGTCTTCTCATCTGTGAAATAGCACCTGCCTCAAAAGATTATTTTGAGGCTTAAGTGAGTTAGTTTATAAAAACTGCTAAGCAGATGCCCAGCTTATGGTAAATAATAAATATTACCTAATGTTCCTGGATTTACTGGTTCTCCTTCAGATCTAGAATGAATGGCTTAAACATCACAGGTTGTTAATTGTTACTTGAATAAAGATAAATAATAACTTTCAAAAAGGTTTTCCAAAGATCTAAAACATTTATATAAAGCTAAAAAACAGCCAAATAATATTTCAAAATTGTATTTCGTATATGCAATAAAACGTTTTAGTGCATAAAATTTTGATTTGTGGAGAGCACGTGGTGCTGGACTCCAGGTCTAAAATGAGTGAAGGATTCCTCTGCAGTTTGCTGCCCAGTGGGGGAGAGAGATAGCAAATGGATGGATCACTGTATAACAGGGTACATGTGGTGTGGCTAGTGTGGCTGACAGACAAGAAAACTAACATGAAGGCGAGATGGGGCAGCCACAGAGGGGCAAGCCCTCCACAAAGATGTGCTGTCTGAGCAGAACTTAATATCCACAAGGCTAGCGTTGGATTGCTCCCCAAGTTCTCACCAAGCTTTAACAAGAGCAAAAGAAATGTGGAGCCCAGTCACCACTGAGTAATGTTTTAGTTTGAGAGGATCAGGGTTGAAGGATGGCTCTGTTAGCCTGAATAAGATGCTTTATAAGTCAAAGCCAGAGAACCTAGGGTGGAAAACTATGAACTACAGCAATGACGTCAGCAATTATCACTTTTTTTTTGGTATTGGGGATCAAACTCAGGACCTTGCACTTGCGAGGCAGGCGGGGACGTCACAGAGCTAAATCTCCAGCCCAGTAATTATCACTTCTCATGTACACTCTATGTACCAGGCACAGTTCTAAAAACTTCATCGGGATTAGAATATAAACAACCTGATGATTAGGTAGAAAACTAGGCATGGTGCAATGAAAACTTGCTTAGGAAAGGGTGGCTCTAGAGTCTCTGCTCCTAAATTCCAATTCAGCCTCCAATTTTCTTCTTCTCTTTAAGGTCAGGCCTTTTCACTAAATGAGGCAATTGGAAGTCCCAGGTCACTTGAATCTCTGCCTGATCGGTGCTTCCCGTACTAAGGACAGCTTTCAGTTAGTGTTTAATGGCTGAACAGTGAGTGGTCCAAGGCAGTGTTCCACATCTGGCATATTTTTAATTTATACTGGCAATTGATGATGGTGTCAAATAAGCATTTATATACTGACTTGGGGTAAGGAATGGGGGACAGTAACAAATGGTGCTGAGAAGGAGGGGATGTTCTGGCACATGAAAATTCCAGTTACTCACAGAAGACTGCCTGCTCTTCAAACTCACTTTTTAATTAACTCTACACTTAGTTTGGATTTAGAAAATTCTTGTGTAATAATGGAAAATATAAGACAACAGGGCAAACTAGTGAGAAATTCTGCCTATGAAGTCAGATTCTACTTATTAGGTGGGAAATTCAGAGGAAATTATTCACACTTGTCTGAATTTTTCTCAGCCATAAAGTAGAGATAATGATGTCTTTTCTCATAGTATGGTTTTAAAGACTAAAATGAGAGAATGCATATGTGTTAGTCAGCTTTCTCATTGCTGGGACAAAATACCTGATACCTGCACCTGAGGAGAGGAAATGTCTATTTGGCTTATGGTTTTTCTGTCCATGATTGGCAGGCTCTGAAGCAGACAGGGTGGGGCAGAAGGGGGTGTGGAAGAAAGCTGCACTATGCATGGCTGGCAGGAAGCTGAGAGAAAAGGGAGAATGTGGGAACAAAAACACTCTCTTCAAGTCACTGTCCAGGGCCTCATTTCTGCCAGCTGGGCCCCACTTCCTAACACAACTTTTAGCTATAAACTCATCAGTGGATCCATGCAGTGATGAGGACAGCATCTCCATGGTCTAGTCATCTTCCAAATTCCCCACCTCTGAGCACCTGAGATTTTGGAGGACATTTTAGGTCAAAACCACAACATCATGGTTTGTGCTTAGCACAGGATCTTCACTCGAGTTTGTTTTGCCTACTACGATGCAATTTCCACCTGCCTTCCTCAATCATTTACAGCAACTGCTGTCATCAGTGGCAGCACCTCCATCAATGCACTATCACCATGACTGTTGCTATCACCACCATCACCATCACAGACATCACCACTGCCACAGTTATCCACTGTCCACCCCCCACCCCATTATGACTGTCACCCCCCACCACCACCATTTCCTCACTGTCCCCACTTCATCACCATCAGGATTGTCATTTCTGTATGCTACCTGACTTCTATGACACCCAAACTGTTTACAAACAGAGAGAGTCATGGAAGGTGAGACATGACCTCAGTAAGCTCAATTTGCAGTGAAGTCTCCTTAGAAGAGGCAATTAAACGTTCTCTACTTCATTTTGTTTTTTAGTCATGGGAATAATATGAATAACTGCATCATATGCATTAATCATAGAGGAGGGCAGTGGCCTTCCCAACCTATAAGGCTCCTTCCTGTAGGTGGAGCTGCTGACTAGCCCTATGTCTACAGAAATACAGGCGTGCACAGCTGAACTGGAGAATATCTGGAAAACTCAGAGTCACTACACAAATGAGTATTTCTCAGACACAGTGGCCTAGGTCCCTCTCCTATTTCTGAATATTCAAATTAAGGATCAACCGGGAGTGTGCAGAACATGTATACCTTCAGTATTTGGTAGTTGTTTCCATTGCTGGTGATTTCAGTGCTTCAGGGATTTAAAAAGATGCCCTCACTACACTGATACTGACTTACAATGGTTCCTTCCATTCATTAAGGCATACCTGTGCCTTTAACACACTGACAGCTGCCTTTTTCCTTCTTCCTGTTTCTCTGTGTGGTTCTAGCTCCTTCTGAGGTCATGTTTGCCATTGATGTTGGGAATGGCCCTGTAGAGCTTGTGGTCCAATCTCCTTCTCCTCTGAATGACGACCAGTGGCATTATGTCCGGGCTGAGAGGAGCCTCAAAGAGATCTCTCTCCAAGTGGACAGCCTTCCTCAGAACACCAGGGAGACCTCAGAGGATGGCCACTTCCGCCTACAGCTCAACAGCCAGCTGTTTGTAGGTATGGAACTTCTTAAGACATACTTTATGCTAAAATCCCCATAAGGCTACTCTGTGACCAGGCCTGAGGACACTCTTATTTTACAACTGAGAAATGATTAAACTATATCATCATTTACAAACACAAATTTAATTCTGTAAGCTATTCCCTTCAGGCTTCATGAGCCATAGCCACAAAATATATGCTTCTCCTTATTAAATTTTGGACCACTTTCTGACTCTGTACATTTTCTCCTTGTATATATTATCTTCAGATGTCCAGGCAAATGTTGTTTTTCATCATTATAATCAAAATCTCCTCTTTTTTTTGAAATCTCCTCTTAAGAGGATATATCATCTGCTTACACCACAGTAGGTATAGACTCCAAGTAAGTGGACCACCTTGCCAGGGATACCTGACCCCTGGCGACTACTACTGGTGTTGTGAAATAGTAGAACCCTCTCAAAGGAATTTCAGTTGTCAGCAGTATGGTTGCGGGAAGGACTACTCATGTTTAAACTAGGGATTTCTTTGATTATGCCGGTAAACAGTGTCACTTAGGTAGCTAACTTCTTCTCATACAGAAAAGTAGTGCTGGAGGCTGTACAGACATCAGTCTGCTGGTCTTTTCCTCCAGAAGTTCACAATCTCCTGAAACACATTGTTCATCGGAACTGTCATCTTGCCTGGTGGTGGGCCTGGAAGAATCCTGACTCCATTTCTGTGTCTATCCGTCTTTCCTTCACCCCAGCAGTGGTGATTAAGCATCTGGCACCTGTCAGGCAGCCTTGTTCTGTTCACTAGAGTTGACTGAAACATGAATTGTGAAATACCACTGTTTTTCAAGAAGCTTGTAGTAGTGTGTGTGTGTGTGTGTGTGTGTGTGTGTGTGTGTAAGAGGGAATTTCAAAAACACTAGACCAGGTAATTTCCTGAACTGAATAAGGACATTCTTACAGTTCTAATTATTTATAATAGGTTGAGGGGAGCTTGTAAAGCTTTAAAATACAAAACAGAGTTTTAATCATCAGAGATATTGTAACAGTGTAAAAGCCAAGAATGTGCTACTATATAACACTTGAAATTGCAAACATTTAGTAAATAAGTGACAGAATTTGACAATCTGTTGGGACTTGACTTTCTTGGGGTTTGAATGCAGGGCCCTCATCTCTGCTCTTCTCTTTCCTCTCCTCTCCTGTTCCTCTTCTTCTTCTCTTCTGTTTTCTTTTCTTCCTCTTCCTCTTCCTCTTCCCCTTCTCTTTCCCCTTCTCCCTTCCCTTTTCTTTTCTTTGAGATGGGATCTCACTCAGTCACTCAGTTGCCCAGGCTGGACTCAAACTTGTGATTCTCCTGCCTCAGCCTTTGGAGGGGCTGGGATTACAGGCATGTGCTATCAAGCCCAGCTTACATAGGTTACTGAGAATAATTAAAAGTTATCCTCACTAAAAGATATGCAATAGTTGCTTCTTTTAAGCTTAGAAAAAAATAAATTCTTGAATATTTAACTCTGAGAAAAGTTGTCACTAAAACATCAAGCAAAAGAGGTTATATTCCTTTGTCTTGTCATAAACCTTCTCTTCTGTTGTGTTTTACATGCCCAGCAGAAGTTGAAATATAAGTGACTGAAATATTTTTATGATTATAGTACATTTACTTAATTAACCACCCATGTAATTGATATGCTTTACTATTCAAAATACCTTTTAAAATTTATATTGCTTTTTAATTCTACTTCAACTTCACATTTTCTCTGAGGAAGTTTGCTGGTCATCCCTAATATAATTCTTTGGTGGAATCAACTTGTCTTTTGCAATTTTTATAAATTACATTCCATGCCAAATTTTAATTTATCTTCATGTAATATGAATGAATTTTTCTGGCTGAAGGGAGATATAAAGTGAGACCAATTCTTTTACCCTTTCATGCAAATTTCATGTAGCAATGAGATTATTGCAAGGATTCAATATGGGATAAACTTCGTGGAAGTCAGAAGAGAAGACTGGCAGCTGTGCTTTGTGCTGAGCTTTTATTCCCACACATTTCTGTTCAATTGATCACAAACACACTGAGCTGTGGGAGCACATTGATGGATCTAGAGGAGACACCTTACTGGAGCTGGAAGAAAGGTCAGCACAGAGAGAACCTCTGCTTCTGTTATATCTCTCTCCAATAAGTCTCATCTCAGATGCTCCTCTCCTTTATTGTATTTGTCTTAATGTACTTGAAGAGAAAAGTATGCTATTGGAAGTCATTTGAGTCTGTTGGATTAAATTTCATTGTTCAGTGCTTGGTGATATGTGTATTTAAAAATGTCAGGTAGCCAAAAACAAAGAAAAAACCGAAGTCCTAACATTTCTATTTTTTATAATTCAGTTATTCAGTAAATAAACAAATAAGCTCAACTCATTTATAATAGTCCAAATGAAGAACTGTATTCTCCAATATTCAGAAATTTAGAGAAACTAAATGTTTTCTAGACAGGAAGAGGTATCATTGGTGTATACTAGGACAAATTGACTGCTGTATAACATAAATATTAATTGGGAGATGTCTACCTAGTTATCTTTGGCTACTGGAGGACTACTCAATCAAAACAGACTGTCATTCAGCCTTGTAAACATTGGACAACTGCTGGGGTGATGAGTGCTCCCTAATAGCAGACACAGGCTGCATTGTGCAAAATACAATGTGGCTCTCAGCACTGGCCTTGTTGTTGAACCATTGTGATAGGCCGAGGTGTGCATACATGAGTCAATGTTTAACAGATTCGCAAAAACCAATGCATTACTTCAGGCTATTTAAATCTCATGTTAGGGACATTTGCAACCATGCCATTTAACTGGCTGGATTTGTTTAACACAGTAGGAGGAATTTTCCAAAATGGACCTATCGAAATGTACTATGTAAGCTGGTGTCAGTTTCACCATTGCAGCTGTTGATGCTGTCACCTATCTGCTTTGCTCTTGCTCATGTGTCCATTAATATGAGGATGAGACAAGATAGATTTGAGAAACTACCATGTATTGCTTAAAGTGAAGATATTTGTGTATGTATGTATGTATGTATGCATGTATGTATGTATGTATTCTGGGCCTACTGCTGTAAACCATGATATTTTAGTACAAAAAACAAAAAAGCCTAAGTTCACTATTGTCTATCCACAGATGATAAAAAAGCTTAGTAACTGACCTTTCCAGACTTGAAGGTCTGCTGCCTGCATGCAGGTGTTAGGAGTGAATGCTATGCTTCTTATGCTTATGCATATATAACAGCAAGGAAAGCGTGTCATTCTTTCTGAACCTTTAATAAAGTCTTTCCAAATGTGCTGCAAATATAGAGAAAATTTGTGAAAATGTATGTCTGAGTCTCATTTAATGACTTCATTTCCTTCTCCTCCTTTTTCTTCCATGGACCTAGTTTTCCCCTCCAGATCAATTGTTCTCTTGGTGTTAAAATAAACCAAATTTATGCCAAATTTACAATCCCTTGGGAAGATAATATACCAACTTGATAAATAATAAAAATTTAAGAGTTTCCAAAAATGCAGCTCTGTTTCTAGGATGGTAGAGAACTAACTATTAATTACTCTCTATTGTCAATCATGAAGGCCCGGGGAGCGTAGAATGCATATTAATTCTGAGCTTGGGCACATTGTGAACCAGTGTCCCTGGCATGATCTAGCCTCATAGATGAGCACCCGCCTCTGCACAGAACAGGAACTTAGATTTGACCTCATGACTATCTCCTGAGGATGGCTATCCTATGCAGGCCAGCAGAGCCTTTCCCTGGAGAAGATGTAATATGTTTCATTATAACTGCAAATAACTGCAGAATCACCTTTTAAGATATTAATACATAAAGCTATGGAAGACGATACTTATTATGTCAACCATATGGCAAAGAATGAACAAATATTTGTCTTTCAATTTATAAGTTCTTATAACTTGATCTTATAAGTTTCTGAGAATTATAATTTGACAGAACGTTAATTCTTTTAATGTCAGGTATACTTGAATCATTTTTCTCAGAAAAATAACATGATTTAATAAGTTCCCTATCATAATTATGTAAGGGAAATTGTTTTGTTTAATTAAAGAAATTGGTAAGAGAAACCCCTTCCATGAGAATCTCAGTTAGTTGCTGTATTAAAAAAAATCCTACAGGGACCAGGGATTTAGCTCAGTGGTTCTGGCGCCTGCCTGGCAAGCGCAAAGTCCCAAGTTTGATTCACAGTACCAAAATAAAAATATAAAAAATTAAAAAAATCCTAGAAATGTATACAATAGTCACTCAATAAATGATTCATCACTAACATGTGGAAACTAAAAATGTTGGTAACTAGAAATGGTAGGATAGTGGCCATGACATTCTGGGGAGAGAGAGAGCGCGAGAGAGCAAAGAGACCAGGTTACACAATTATATTTAGGTAAGAGGAATTATATTGTCCCCTAGTGTTCAATAGTGACAAGAGGGTATCTATAGTTAAAAAATAATGTTTTTATATTGTAAGTTAGCTAGAAAAGTGGAATTTGAATGTTATCAACACAAAGAAATAAAAACTGTTTGAGGTGCTAGAAATGCTAATTTCCCTGATTTGATCATTATACATTGTCTACATATATCAAAATATCACACTATTTCCCATAAATACATACTGTTTTTATGTACCAATTAAAACATTTGAGAATGTTTCTTCCACTAAAAAATAATGAAGAGCCACCTGGTTCTTTTAATACCTAACCCCCTAACACCATTGAATCATAAAATTAAATTCTTATAGCTTGCACTTTAAAGAATTTTGGTCCTATTTTTATATTCAAGGAAGTGAGTGATCAAATCACTTTTCTGTAAAGAAAAATTATTTCTTTTTTTAAAAATTGAGAATTGGATGTATTTAATCCAGCTTAATAGCCCATTTTAGTAGTTTTTGTCCCTTAATATTCAAACAGCAATTTTGAAATGTTTAGCTACAACCTGTTCTGTTGCATTTGAAGCTCATTTCATTATTTACTGTCTCTGTT